TTTTTCCAGCCACTTATTGCTACTTGTCCCAACTTTTTTGGGATTTGTTGACACTGTGAAATTTTGAATCAACATATTTTTCCTTTAAAATGTTACATTTACACAAATTAAACTTTTGATCTGTCATCTATGTTATATTACAAATAAAATATTGACATTTGCCATCTCCACATCAATGCATTCAGTTTTTATTCACAATTTGTTTAGTGTCCCAACTTTTTTGGAATCTGGTTTGTATTTGAACTCATTTAACATCTTACCTTGCCTTCAATCTGGTTTCAGGAAACAACACAGCACAACCACTGCTTCACTGAAGGTTCTTAATGACAATGTTGAAGCACTGGATGCTAAGGATTATTGTGCTACACTTTTCTTAAACATGTCTAAAGATTTTGACACTGAATCATAACATCTTGTGTCATAAACTCTCAGAAATCGGTTTCTCAGATCACACCATTGGTTGGTTCTCTAACTATCTCTCAGATCGGATGCAAATTGTTCAACATAAGGGTACTTCTTCCAGTTATTTAACAGTCAACAATGGTGTACCACAAGGCTCAGACTTAGGACCCACCCTCTTTACAATCTACATAGGTAATGTAGGTCAAAACATCCCTGACACATCCATACATTTCTATGCTGATGACACAGTTGTTTATTGTCGAGCTAAAACAGTTGCTAAGGCTTTCCAGGTTTTGAAATCCATATTTGACATCATCCAGTCAGATTTGTTCCACCTCAAACTTGTCTTAAATGCCAAAAAAAACAAAGGGTTGTTTTTTTTTTTCAAACAGGAAGTCATTCCCAGCAGTTCTTCTTTTGATTTTATCCTCAAATGGTGTCCCTATTGAGTTTGTTGATTCCTATAAATATTTGGGTATCTTGGTCGACTCGCATCTCTTTTAAGCTCCACTTGGAAAACCTAGTAAAGAAACTGAAAGTTAAACTGGGTTTCTTTTTCAGAAACAGATCCTGTCTAAAGCCCCCTGTATACTCCCGTGGAGTACGCGGAGGTACGAGCGTACCCCCCAGGGCATGTCCGTGCAAAGCTCAATTTTTACGACTGCATACGCATACGCTGTGTCGCACAATAAACTGCCCAGCAACGGACTGTTTTGTATGCTACACCAATGTATTAAATTCCCCTTCTTCATCTCTGATCTGGCCTCTTCTTTTGTTTTTTTTCCAAGAGGCAAGTGATCTCTTCCTCCTCCATTGATGTCATGACTGAAATGGTGAGCAATGAAAGAATTTGTCACGAGCGATTTAAACTCAGGTCCAGCATGGCTGCGGGAAGGTCTGGAGATTTCCTGGTGGGCTGGTCTGATGTGTGAGCTGTAGAGCCAGTGCTCCCTGTTTTTTTTTTTGTTGTTTTTTTTTTAATCTTTTTATTAACAACATATAAACACAGAACACCGCTGCGGCTGAGGCTACTAACTTTTTTTTTTTTCTTTTACCGACCTGTCAATCAATCCAGTAGGTGTGTCAGCAAATGACCAATTGGCGACCTCAATTTGTCCCGAAGGTAAACGCTCCTCGTCTGTGAAGCTGCTCTGCAGCTGCTCAGGGTGGACGCTCGAGTACGAAGTCTGAACCCTCTGCGTACAGTACACGCGTACGTACGCGTGAACGAACGTACACGGGAGTATACTGGGGGCTTAACTCTGAATGCTAGGAAACACCTTGTATCTGTGACTTTCCTTCCCTCCATTGATTACGGTGACATTATTTACATGAACGTTCCTACAAGAACCCTGCAGATGTTGGATGCTGCAGATGTTGGATGCTGTTTATCATGGTACACTAAGATTCATAACGGGCTGTGATTATTGTACCCATCACTGCACCCTGTATTCACTGGTTAACTGGTCACCATTAACTTCACGCAGACTCTCTCACTGGTACATTTTCATCTTTAAATCACTTCTTGGTCTGTTGCCTTCATACATCTCCTCCTATATGTCTCTACGTGAGTGCAGCTACAGCGTGCGCTCTCAGGACATTATTACCTGCAGTGTTCCCTCAGTGAGGACTGAACTAGACAAAGGACCTTCTCCTACTCCGCTCCTGTTTCCTGGAATATCTTGCAAAAAGATATGAAGCCCTCAACCTTGACCTCTCTAAGGTCGTTTTCACACCAGATAGTCCGGTAGACTCGGTTCGGTTCGGAACCAATATTCATGAGCTTTTGTTACATTTGAGCTGGTGCGTTTGTATTCACACTGCACTGTGCAGTCGAGTCAACCTGTTGAACCAACCTATTCCCCCGCTCGCCTGTGGGGGCGCTGCACCAAGAACTACTGAAAGAAACGACACAAAAACCTCTGAAGACACTTCTTCTTCTTCTTCTTCTGTAAATAAAAATAAAAAAGAAGTGGCATCAAATTTTAGCAGTTTTAGGAGTATTTTGTCATTTTTCAAAAATGGACTTAGCATGAGCAGAAGATGAGACAGAAGACCATGGAGAATATTGTTTTTCACACAAGGCAGCTGACGGCTCCATATAAGGTCAGAGCAATGTGTGTTTGTTTACCCTGCGGAGTGTGGTCCGGTCTGTTTGCATTCACACTGTACTCAAATCGCGCTGGAGTTCGTTTCTACCAGACCGAGACCTAGGTTTTAGCCCGGGCCAGAGTTCGCCTTTTTGTTCCATGACAGAGTTCGATGGCGCGTTCACACCTCCCTAAACGAACCGGACTTTCTAGGAAAACGAGCTAGAGTTCGATTAAAGCGGACTAAACAGGGCTGGTGTGAATGCACCCTATATGGCTTTAAACATCTGTTAAGTTCCTGGCAACAGCAAATTTTCTGTTTTTAGTTTTCTACACTGCCCTATAATCTAGCTGTTTGTTTGTTTTTTGTGCTACTTTTCCTTTTGGTTGTTATTTTGTTATGATTTGTAAAAAAATAAATAAAAACTGTATGCCTCTTTTGTGACCGTCTATTGTTGTCGTTGTTATTCATTGTTTTCATGACTCTTTGTTAAGAAGTCAGGTCTCTCTTGTAAATGAGTCCCCGAGGCTCAATGGGGTCGACAGTCATGTCAAACTAGTTCAAAACCAAAAAAAGTCTATGCTTAATAATTTGGATTGAAGGTGAAACGTTCCAGCAAAAAAAAAAAAAAAAAAAAAAGAAACTTTCCAGATGACCTGACTGAAAATTGTTGGATTATATACCTGGATTATTGAGCATGGACTTTTTTTTGGCTTTGAACCAGTTTGACATGACTGTCGACCAGGAAGAGGGCCGGCTCCTGAGGAGGAGGTGTACCAAAGACACCATCTTAGCACCAACATACAGGTAACTGGTTTGTTCCACTTTGGAGTAAGCTGTTTGGGGGAAGAATCAGTTTTGTGTTGTGTTTCCTTGACTGATGAAACCTTCCGGATGGAAGGTGAAACGTTTCAGAAAAAAAAAAAAAAAAAAACTGTCCAGATGACCTGACTGAAAATTGTTAGATCACTACTTATAGTTGTAGGGATACATGGTTCAACAGAGATGAGACTTTTCATTAGTCTAGCAAAAGAAATAAACAGAAACCTAGGGTTATTTTTATTCTCCTCTATTAAAGATGAGTAATATAAAGTTCTAGCTTTACAAAGAACTCTCTTATATGTTAGCCGACTATCTTTCCAAGTTAAATAAAATTCTCCAATGTTAGTGGAACGCCATTTTCTCAATTCTCTCTCTCTCTCTCTCTCTCGCTCTCTCTCTCTCTCTCTCTCTCTCTCTCTCTCTCTCTCTCTCTCTCTCTATATATATATATATATATATATATATATATATATATATATATATATTTATATATATATATGTGTGTGTGTGTGTATAAACATATATGTAGTATTTTCATTCGGAAAAGGGTGGATTACTTTCTTCGGGTTGAGGGTGAGGTTCTGCCTTAAGTGGAGAAGTTCAAGTATATTGGGGTTATGTTCACAAGTTAGGGAAGAATGGAGCGTGAGACTGACTGACAGATTGGTGCAGCATCTGTATTATTGTGCACTCTCTGCTGATCCTTTGTGGTGAAAAGAGGGAGCTGAGCTGTAAGACAAAGCTCTCTGTTTACCGGTCGGTCTACATTCCTCCCCTCACCTATGGTCACAAACTCTGGGTAGGGCCCGAAAGCATGACATCATGGATGCAGGTAGTTGAAATGAGTTTCCTCCGTAGGGTAGCTGGACTCTCCCTTAGAGATAGGGTGAGAAGTTCAGTTATCCGGGAGAGACTCGGAGTCAAACCGCTGCTCCTCCGCATCGAGAGGAACCAGTTGAGGTGGTTTGGGCATCTGGTAAGGATGCTCCCTGGGCAGTAGAGGATGACACAGGAGTGGATTTTCACTCCTGTCCTGTGCTGGTCCCACACAAAAAATCCTGTCCTGTCCCAATCCTGGTCCAGAGTAAAGAAATTAATCCTGTCCTGTCCCACTCCTGGTAACCTGACTCCTGCTCCTGTTCAGAATCACTCCCACTCCTGTACTGCTCCTGTTTTTAATTAAATTTTTAGGAAATACATTGAATTTGATTTGATCTTCTACCCATTCCTGTTTCAGTCTGGTCACGTCCCAGTCACATGAGTTATAATGAGGTTGACTCCGGTCCCGCCAGAATCTGTCCGGAATAACGTGACCCATGGTACTCCCGAAAAAATGTCATCCTCTACTGGGCAGCTCCCTAGGTAGGTGATTTGGGCATGTCCGACTGGGAGGAGACCCTGGGTAAGACCCAGGACATGCTGGAGAGACTATGTCTCTCGGTTGGCCTGCAAACGTTGGGGTCGCCCAAGAAGAGCTAGAAGATGTGGGTGTGGAACAAGACGTCTGGGCCTCCATGCTCAAGCTGCTCTCCCCACGACCCGACTTTGGAACAAGCGTAAGATGATGGATGGATGGCTGGATGGATGCTGAATGGAGTATTTTCGCAATAGTGTTTTACAGTAGAGTGTATTTTACCTACAGTATTTCATAAATGTGTTAAGTTTTTATTTATTCCACTGCTTACCTGAACCAACACAAAGAATCTCTTCTTCCATCGTTTCCAAACGTTCTTGCCGATGGCCCACATGTACCTGTGGTCAAAAACAGTATTTTTATACCTAGAAAACATAAAGCTGCAGAGGGTTTTTGTGCTTTATTAAGCTCTTTTTGCCTCTGTCTGTGCTGCGTTGTTCAATGCATCCACTGACCTCTGCTGGTAGAATAGAGTAATTACAACCAAATGCAACATTAAAACATTAAAATTAAACATTAAATTAAAAATCTGATCTCTGCTCTGTGTAACAGACTGACTCTACAAAAGTCCGCTGAATATAAGGACAGCTTTCATTGTTTGAGAAAAGTCTGTATAAGACAGAATAAAGAATCTGTAGTTGAAATGGGAAACATCAGATGGATTCATATTGAACGAGCATTTTACAAAAGTGATCAACCATGAAAAGACACAATTTATACTAAACTAAGACAAAATCAAAAACTCCACTTACTATTTTGTGGAAATGAACCTGAAGTCTTTTCAACAAATTTTATGTACAACTTTACAAAAATGGATGTAATTTAAAGGAAAAAAAACTCTGTAGGAACAAAATTATTTCATGTAAGCCATCCCTAATCTGGCACTGAAACTTTATGAGTTTTACTTAATTGTCATTTTGTAATTCACTGAGCCTGATTCCAAAAACGTTCAATCTGGTCCTCTGGACATTCAAAAAAACAAAAAACAAATCAAAGCAAAAAAATGTAGAAACGTTTTGTCTCTCATCCAAGAGACTTCCTCAGTCTGAGGTGCTGTTTTCAGCTCAGTCTCTTAAATAGCACCTTCTCAGAGTGGATCAACCAGTTTGCTGCTGACAACCAAAACCAGCTGATCACATGCTCAAGAAGGATGTCCAGAGGACCAGATTGAACTTTTTTGGATTTTTCTACCTGGATTATTGAGCATGCATCAGGATACAGAGCCTGATTGTTTTGTTATAATTGAAGTGAATTAAATGAAATGCATATTATTGGAATTACACTGGAATTAGCATTTTGGATTTGTTTTGCGCACTAAGATGACTTTTGTCATGAACTGGAGCTATATAAATATTAAAAACTATTGAACTGGAACTAAAATACTGATTGCAAATTGCAAATATCCAAACAATAACCACAACAAAAACAGGACAGGGTATGAACCTTAGTCTTGGACTAAATCAGGACGGATGCTGCTGAATGTTCTCCTGATTTTAGCTAGACTGATCACTTGATCACCCACAGCTGAAGAGCTGAGCGTCTCTGTGTGTGTGTGTACTGTAATGATGTACAGTAGTCCTTTGTCCAAGTCCAAGGAGGGATCTGTACCCTGAAGCCCCGAGATAAGTGAAAAACTTTGAAGTAGGATTATTAGTACAAGTAGTAAGAAGTAGTTTATTATATACATATATATATATATATATGTATATATATATATATATATCAGAGAGTCAGAGTCAGAGATACTTTATTGTCGTTCGCACCTCATGTGGTACATGTGGTGGAGCGAAATTATGTACACGGGGTCCCAGTTACATCCAACAATAAAATGTAAAAGAAAAACAGTAATAACATCTAAGATATGAACTAAGAAAAACATCAACTAAATGTACACAAAGCACTAATAGCATAAAAACGTTACGTCAAACAGCAGCACGAACATGAACATGAGTCTATGAGCAAATGAGCACGCATGAACAGATCAGCAGCAACATGAAACAGATCAGCAGCAACATTGAAACAGATCAGCAGCAACATGAAACAGATCAGCAGCAACATGATGTGATTTTTCACAGTGATTATTCTGGTTAGAGATTCATGAGTCTAACAGCCTCAGGGTAGAAGCTGTTCCTCAGTCAAGTGGTTCTACACTTAATGCTCCTCAACCTCCTTCCTGAGGGGAGTGGGGCAAAAAGTGTGTGTGCTGGGTTAGTGTGGTCCTTCATGATGCAGGTGGCCCTCTTCCTGCATCTGGAGGTGTAGATGTCTGTGATGGTGGGGAGACTGATTCCAACAAATTTCTGTGCAGCCTTCACCACTCTCTGCAAAGCTTTTCTTTCTGCAGCTGTGCAGCCTCCATGCCACACGTTGATGCTGGAGCACAGGATGCTCTCCACTGCACACCTGTAGAAGGAGGTGAGGACTGAGCTTCCAGATCAGCTCGTCTCAGCCGTCTGAGGAAGTAGAGTCTCTGATGAGCTTTCTTCATCAGGCTGGTGGTGTTGTTGCTCCAGCTGAGGTTGGTGTTCATGTGTACACCCAAGTACTTGTAGCTGGAGACCACTTCCACCGCATATCCTCTTATGTTCAGGGGGGTGTAGGTGTGTTTTTTACTTTTGAGTCCACAATCATCTCCTTCATCTTCTTCACATTGATGTGAAGGTTATTCTCTTTGCACCAGCTCTCCAGGTGTTCCACCTCCTGCCTGTAGCTGGACTCATCATTGTTTGTGATGCATCCCACCACCGCTGTATCATCTGCAAACTTTAAAATGTGACAGCCTGGATGGGTAGCTGTACAATCATACGTGAGCAGAGTAAACAGGAGGGGGCTCAACACACAACCCTGAGGAGAGCCAGTGCTGAGGGTTATGGTGGAGGAGGAGAGGTTGTGGATCCTCACTAACTGTGGTCTGTTTGTTAAGAAGTCTAGTACCCAGTTGCAGATGGAGGGGCTTAGTCCTAGTGTGGATAGTTTGTCCATCAGGGTTTGGGGGATCATGGTGTTGAAGACAGATGTGAAGTCCACAAAGAGCATACGGACGTAAGAGTTTTTCTGCTCCAGGTGGGTGAGAGCAGTGTGGACCACAGAGGAGATGGCATCCTCTGTAGATCGATTCTCGCGGTATGTATGAGGGTCCTCGTTCATGTTGATGGTTGTTTTGATGTGGGACAAGAGCAGTTTTTTTTAAGCATTTAGCGACTATCGGGGTGAGGGCCACTGGCCGATAGTCATTCAGACCAGTCACTGTAGAGCTTTTTGGGACTGGGATGATGGTGGCAGTCTTCAGGCAGGTGGGTACTGTCTCCAGAGTAAGTGAGGTGTTAAAGATGTCTGCCAGCACCTCGCAGAGCTGGTCGGCACATCCTTTCAGCACTTTTCCGGGGATGTTGTCTGGGCCAGTTGCCTTGCATTAAACCTCCTGAATGTACTCCTTACTTCTGCTGAGGTCACGCTGAGATGCTCTTCATCCAGTGGTGATATATGTATATATATATATATATATATATATATATATATATATATATATATACACATACACATATATATATAATGTATAAATATATATATATATATGTATGCATATATAAAGGTGTTTTAAACCCTGCCCACACTCTTGCAAGATTCTAAGCAATGTTTCTAAGCTCTAAACGCTCTAAAGAGCACAGAATGTCATGATATCCCTCTCTGTGCCTCCGCTGTGCTAAGCCACCTGCAAGCGCTCCTAGCCGCGACCACTTCTCCACTCTGCATGCAGATCAGCTGTTCAGCAGCATGAGGAAGTTTATCCTTCAGTAAGGGCTGCACAGAAGCGCACGAGGAAGCCTTTTCTGCAGCTCTGGGCTTCACAAAGGAGCAGCAGGTGCTAAATAATCTAAAATAATGTATTTATACAAAAATTCCATGCCGATCGTGCGGCTCATCCATCAATCAGCCAATTTGAAAAACCACAATAGAGTGAATCCACGATAAATGAACCACGAAATCCTGAAGGACAACTGTACATCAGTGTAATACAAGAGAGCCAACAAACAGTAAACACACAAAATGACTAATTCCTTCGGTTTTACACATATTGATCTAAAGTTTCCATTGTGGTGAACAGGGAGCTGAGCTGAAAAGCAAAGCTCTCTGTTTACTGGTCGGTCTATGTTCCTCCCCTCACCTCTGGTCATGAACTCTGGGTAGTGACTGAAAGAATGAGATTGTGGATACAGGAGGTTGAAACGAGTTTCCTCTGCAGGGTAGCTAGACTCTCCCTCAGAGACAGGGTGAGAAGTTCAGTTATCAGGAGAGACTCAGAGTAGAACCTCTGCTCCTCCACATCCAGAGAAGTCAGTTTACGTAGTTCGAGCATCTGGTAAGGATGCTCCCTGCGTGGCTCCCTAGGGAGATGATTTGAGCATGTCCGACTGGGAGGAGACGCTGGGGAAGACCCAGGACATGCTGGAGAAACTATAGCCCCTTTTCCACAGTGATGGATCAGATCAGTTCAACTCGGTACACGTTGCATTTCCATATGCACTTCAGGACCGGTTCTGTAGGCGGGATCCATAATCCAACTCGCTTTACCAGCTGGTAGCGGTAGTGTCCATTAAGCTATTTACTGACCCTAAAAATATACACAACCAAAATGGAGGATCTCGTAGCTTTGTTGAACATTCTACTCAGTTTGTGACTTTTTATTAAACATCAAAGAGAAGAGACCCAGTAAAGTCTGCGGGCAAAAGGCTTTGGAGAAGAACACGAGAGTGTTGGAAATGATTAGATGAGTGATGGTAAGCTAATGCTATTTTGCTATAAAGCTGAGTGTAAAAGTATGTACTGGTACATGTCAATTAAATATGGTTTAGTAAAACATGCTGTGTGTGTTTCAGATGATTCTCCAACAAAATAATGTCAGCACACCTAGAGTCTGTTTATGTCCAGCTCTGGAGCAACAGTGTGCCATAAAGATGAAAGAGACTGTATCTGTTCTTTAAACATGTGTGAGGGGAATATTCCTGAGAGATCCAATAATTTTGTGTCTTTTTATGATCCAACAACCAGTTTGACAAGACTGTCAACAAGGAAGAGGGCCAGCAATGGAGGAAGGGGCGTACCAAAGAAACCATCTAATCACAAGCAGAACTGGTTTGTTCCACTTTGGAGTAAGCTGTTGGAGGAAGAATCAGTTTTGTTGTGTGTTTCCTTGACTGATGAAGCCTTCCGGATCGAAGGCGAAACATTTCAGCACAAAAAAAGAAACTGTCCAGATGACCTGATGAAAAATGTTGGATTTTATACCTGGATTATTGAGCATGGACTTTGTTGTTTTCAACCAGTTTGACAAGACTGT